AGCGTCCGACTTCAGCCAGGTCACGATCTCACGGTCCGTGAGTTCGAGCCCCGCGTCAGGCTCTGGGCTGATGGCTCGGAGCCTGGAGCCTGTTTCCGATTCTGTGTCTCCCTCTCTCTCTGCCCCTCCCCCGTTCATGCTCTGTCTCTGTCTGTCCCATAAATAAATAAAAACGTGGAAAAAAAATTTAAAAAAAGAGAGATGAGTCACATTCAGTTGGCCCACAGTGACTTACAGACACAGAGAAACATAGGTGGAAAAAGGACATTTACTTTTAAAGGTGCAGGTAGCTGGGGAAAGGGATAAGATAGAGAGTATTGCAGTGTTCACTCAAACTGTCTTCTCCCCCATCAAATTACCATGTTATCTGACACTCTCAATCTATTTGTGTCCTGGGTAACAGACAGTTTGACCAAGAGGTCATAGACGAGAGGGCTTGGGTGATTGGAAACAAGTTTGACAAGAAAGGAATCTGGGTGGGTTGCCACTGTGGAGGTGGAAAGATGAGGCCACCGTGGCTGCAGCAGCCTGGGAGCCCCAAGTCTCTGCTGGACTCTGCATTCGCATGCAATGCCTCCTCAGAGACCAAAGAGGAAGAGCTATCCACACAACTTTATGGACAGGAGAAGCTTATGTCTCTCTCTTCACAGCCCTTGTCTTTACCTTCTCTTTATTTCCTGTCACCCTCATTTCCTCCTTCTCCTTTTGCTCTTTTCCACCTCAGTTGGCTGTCTCCAGAATTCTGGCTGCTCTTGGGGTTATCCTCTACCTGTCTCCTCTTTTGAATCAAGGCTTTAGATGTAATGTTTACAACTCCAGATATGAAAAGTTGTTTTATCCAATCAATAGCCTGCTTGTAAACTATTTGTATTCGTAAATATAGAGTGCTTGTATGAACAATAAAGGTGTCAGGGCCAATAAGTAAAACATGCAACATTGGAATATGTCTTTTCATAGCAACAGAGGGACTGCGAACATTCTTTTACAAAGCTCCATTGAAGACTGGATATCCTGGAAGGGTCAGTGAACACACTCCTTTAATCCCAGGAAGCATCACCCTTGGCATTATGACCAGCAAGGTGGTAAATCTCAGTTCAGTTTACTACTCTCAACTTGGAAGCTCCTCTTCTTCCTGAAACCACCACCTGTAGGCTTGGACACGTTCTCAAAATTATGTGTTCTAAAAGAGCAAAGATACAGTTCGGTGTGGAGTTTATGTGCTAACATGAGTTTCTTTCTGCATCTTTTCATATAAAGGTACTTGTTTTTCTTGTACTATATCCTATTGTTATTGGCTCAGCAGTATTTTTTTGGTGATTTTCCTGCCTTTTATGGTTGGAAAGCACCTTCATTGTCATCCTCCATTTTCAGATTAGAACTTAATAGAACGTTGTCTTTCTCCATAGAAGATTTGTCCCATTACCATCCTTCTTTGATTCCTTTTCCTTTGTAACTTCTTCCAACATCTCTTTTAGAGATAATTCTAAATCTCACAATTCTCTTCCTTTTTAATTTTTAAATTTCATTTCTGGGCACTTAGTGTTCCCATACCTTAAACCTCTAGATTACTCCTTTGTCAATTACCATGTGGGATGTATTACTAGGAGTTGAGATTTGGGACTTATTTTCTTTTAAGCTTTTTGTGGGAGCCTGGAACAATACTTGCTAAGTAGTAGGTGTTCAATAAATGCCTGCTGATCAATTGGTAGAATTAAAACTTTTGTTCACAAAAATTAAAGTTCAAAGATTAAAATCTATAAAAATAGCATGAATTAAATCTCAGATTATTTCTAATTCATTTCTTTCTTTTTTAATGTTTATTTTTGAGAGAGAGAGTGAGAGAGCGTGAGCTGCAGAGGGTCAGAGAGAGAGGGAGACACAGAATCTGAAGCAGGCTCCAGGCTCTGAGCTGTCAGCACAGAGCCCAACGTGGGGCTTGAACTCATGAACCATGAGATCATGACCTGAGCTGAAGTCGGCGCTTAGCCAACCGAGCCACCAAGGCACCCCAACTCTAATTCATTTCTAATTTTCTCTCAACAAATCAGATATGTGAAAGAATTCCATAGTAGAAATTTCATCTTGATCTTTTTTTTTATCATCACTACTATCATTTTTATTACATCAGAGCATTTTTAGGATAATGAATCAAATCATTCATCATTTTTAGGATGATAGTCAGGGCTTGTAGGATACTGGAAAAATTTTAATGTTTCTTAATAAATAGTATGGAGAATGTGTGTGGTGAGGGAGACACTAAGGAGATGTGTATGTGGTGGTTGGCGGAGGGGGGCACATAGATGACAGATGTATCCAACTTATAATGTCAGGCAGTAGAATCATGTTACTAGTTAAGATATTATGATCTCCAATCTTCACAATTATTTAACGCACTTAACAATTTCACTCTTTATAATAAATAGTAAAACATAGTGCTTCACAATATACAATAGACAAAGTTCTTTTTTTCATTTTTATAGTTAGAGATAAGGAACTTGAGAAATTAAGTTAAACTGTTAGTCAACCCCAGAACAACAAAAAAGTATTAACCCAATCAGACTCTCACTAACATCATAGACCAAACAAACCACAGTTATTTTTATTTCTGCTAATTGTTGCCCCCACAAACCTCCAATATTTTTGATTAATTTATTGGTGGCAAAATATTCCCTAGATCACTTACCCTATCCACTCCCACTTGCCAACTGCTATCATACACAATAAATACATTTCACCAGAACAGTAGGAAGATTGGCATTACCTTTGATGAGACAAGTATGAAGCATTTAATAATTCTTGTTACATACAAGAAAAAAAATGTTTTACCTTATTATACTAAAAAAAAGCAAACAAACATACATATGAACAAACAAATATATAAATGGGGAGGCTGAAATGGCAGAGAGTTACAATAAGGTGAGTTTTACGGTGCCTATATGGCTTTCAAAACCACCATGTCTACATCCCTGCCCTGCTGTTCTTTAGAAGAACACTCTAGGGGCGCCTGGGTGGCGCAGTCGGTTAAGCGTCCGACTTCAGCCAGGTCACGATCTCGAGGTCCGGGAGTTCGAGCCCCGCGTCAGGCTCTGGGCTGATGGCTCAGAGCCTGGAGCCTGTTTCCGATGCTGTGTCTCCCTCTCTCTCTGCCCCTCCCCCGTTCATGCTCTGTCTCTCTCTGTCCCAAAAATAAATGAACGTTTAAAAAAAAAAAAAAAAGAAGAAGAAGAACACTCTAGATGGCTGAAGATTCAAAAAATCAAGGGGGAAGATGACTGGGAAACTATACGATGTGATAGGCAAATTACCTTTGATTGGTTCAGGCACTCTAATCATCAATTAAAAAAATGATCTATACACTCAAGAAACAATGGGCCAATATTATTCTCACAGTACTTTAAATATATTTTTTCCATTATATTTTGACCTGATTTTATATATAATCTTTCCTAAATGTAACTATAGGGTGATGCAAAAGATCTGAGTTATTGAATATTTCTAGGAGCTACGCACTGCGCTAAGCGTTTTTCACATATTATCTCAATCAGTTCTCATAACAATCCTCTAAAATAGGTACTGTTATGTTTTTATTTGTCAGATGAGGAAACTGATGCTCAGAAGTGACTTGCTTCAGGATGCCTGGCCAGTGAGTGGCAGGACCAGGCCTAGAATAGGACTCAAACCAGGCACAGTCTGACAAATCAGGCCAATCTAAACAAATGGCCACTGTAAAAGAATTCTGTCTTCTATACCACTTTCTGTTGATGTTCATTAGAAAATGTCATTCATAAAAGACATACAGATTAAGGAAATTTAATTATTAAGAGTGCTATGAAAATAATGTTGCCTAGTTAGTTTATGAAATGATCAGTGTTTGAAAAAAATGATGATTATAGTAACTGAGACCATTAAGGTAAAGTTATTCTACTCTTCTGTGTGTGTCTCAAGGCACGTTTCTCAGACTAAAGTAATAGGTATAACCTCTTAAGCTATTTTGAAGTGTGAGATTTTATTATTTTTATTTTTTTTTAATTCTTTATTTATATTTGAGATTGACACAGAGTGTGAGCAGGGGAGGGAAAGACAGAGAGGGAGACACAGAATGTGAAGCAGGCTCCAGACTCTGAGCTGTCAGCAAAGAGCCCAACACGGGGCTCGAATTCACAAATCATGAGATCATGACCTGAGACAAAGTCGGATGCTCAACTGACTGAGCCACCCAGATTCCCCTATTATTATTATTTTTAAAGTAATCTCTACCTCCAATATGGGGATTGAACTCATATCCCAACATCAAGAGTTGCATGTTCTACTGACTGAGTCAGCCAGGTTCCCTTGAACTATGACATTTTAGATATGATAGGAAACGGAGCCAACTCTTGCTAATATTAAAGAAAGAATTTACACACACACACACACACACACACACACACACACACACAACACACATCAGTTGGCATATGATGAAATGATTTTTCCTTCGTCTTGTACGTTATGACCTGCTTCCTCCTTTCTTGCCTCTCCTCACCCTCCATTGTCCCTTTCAATGCTAACTCTAGGTATCAGCTTAGATATCCCTGGAAAAGGCTTCCCTGACATCTTGGCATTGGATTAGGTCAAGGTGCCCCTCCTGTATGCTCACATACCTGTAAAAAAGCATATAACACACTTCCATGAACTTAACACTTTTGAAGATTATAGGTCAGTTACTTTGTAGAATGTTTTTCAGTTTAGGGTGTGTGTGTGTGTTTGTGTGTGTGTGTGTGTGTGTGTGTGTGTGATATTTTCCTGTGATTAGATTCCAATTACATATCTTCTATGATATTCAGAAATATCACAGAAGTGATGCTGTGTTCTTAGGCACACAATGCCTGCTTAAACATAATTTCATGATGTTACATTGCTTATTTGGTTTAGGTGACATCAGCTAGCTTCTCTATTGTATTATTACATCTCCTCTCTTTGTAGTTAGTATTTCACAAGCATGAAGTGTTTCTTTACAGTGAGAAACTGAAGCCTCCTGCCAACAGCCATGTATGTGAGCTTGAAAGTGGATTCTCCAACTCTCTAGATGACTGCAGCCCTGGTCACTAACTTCACCCCAAGTCTGAGCTGCTCCGAGATTCCTGACCCTCAAAACTGAGTGAAATAAATATTTGTTGTTTCAACAAGTTAAATTTTGAGTAATTTGTTACACTGCAATATGTAACTAATCCACTACATACGGACTTGCTATCTTCCAAAAGTTTGTCACTTTTTTAAAAAATTTTTGTTTGTTTGTTTTTCTGTCACTTTTTATCTATTATAGTCCTCCCACTTCTTTGCACTTAAGGGTTCTCTCTCTCCCCCCACCCTACCATTTTAATAGCATTTGGGGGGGAAATAGAGATAAAACTATTTGATCTACCAATTTTTTTTAAGTTTATTTATTTGTTTTGAGAGAAACAGAGGCAGCACAAGTGGGGGAGGGGCAGCGAAAGAGGGAGATAGAATCTCAAGTTGGCTCTATGCTGCCAGCATAGAGCCCGATGCAGGGCTCAAACCCACAAACTGTGAGATTATGACCCCAGCCTAAACCAAGAGCGGGACGCTTAACCAACTGAGCTACCCAGACACCACTTGATGTGACAAAATTTTACCAGAAGTCCATGGAGGGGAATCTTAAGCACAGATTTGAAGGAGGGAAAGGATAGGACTTAGTGATGCTGTTTAACAAAAACATTTGAGTTAGAAGAAATATGAGATAAACACTCTGAGACAGAAAAATAAACTTACAGAAAATAAGAAGCAACTGAAAATGATATTTTACTTCATATTTAATAAATAAGATTCTGAGTTTTAAAAGTATAATTTAAGAATATTTCTTTTGTCTGCCCAGCACTGCTCTCCTTCTGGAGGCAGAAGTGTCTTCTTTTTGGAGGAAATGCTCTTTTCTTTACTTAAACTGTATTGTTCTAGTGGAGGCTGCCAATTATAGAAATGGTCTCTCTCTTCACAAGAGGAGGCATACGACCTAGGCCAGCCCTTTGGTCCCTCTCTGGGAGTTTTCAAGTGGGATTTAGAAAGAAGTAGTCCTTTCATAAAGAGATATCAAAAGCGAGGTTGTCAAGGGCAGAATGTTGCGGTCTCTGGTAAGACAGAAAGCTGACTCAGAGAGAAGCACAGATGACAGCTGGATGGAGAGAGAGTCTAGCCTGTCTAGAGTCCCTGTTGCTTGTTCCTTGAGGTCCGTGCCCTTCCTGAGATTTTGGTACTCAGGTCAGTATTTACTTCCTGTTTTGCCCGTCTAAAATTGGGTTTCTGTTACTTGCAGCCAAAAGAATTCTTGCTTCAATAGAGTGTCCCTTTTCCCACCCCCATAAATGTCTTCTTCCTTGAGGAGAGCAGAAGAAAGTGTTTTGGAACCATGATTTAAGATGGTTTTGGGGGATCCTCAGAGGCATCAGTGTAAGAAGAAAACTCTCATCTTCTAGTGCCCTCTGCTAACACTGCCTGTAAAGTATTGAAGAGGTGAAGGAGAGTTGGGTACACACACACACACACACACACACACACACACACACCCGTTAAGTTTTTTTGCCAACACGATAATATTTATTGAAAGTCTATTATATTTCAGGCACTTTTACAAACATCTGTTCTGCATTAGTCCAAGAAACTAGATTTTTCATACTGTTCCTAATTATAGATGAGATAATACCTTTAAAGGTAAAAGATGTCAAATATTACTTTTTCCAGAAAGAAAAAGTTATGAGCAAAGACTCTCATTCTGTTCACCTTTCTAAACCTCCGCCAGGTTTAACCATTATTTGGATGTCTCTTTCGCTTTCATAGTGAAAGGCTATCCCAAGAAACTTAAAACAAGATTTCAAATGTAAATGGTATCACAGTACTACTATTTGATTTGTTTCTAAAGACATTTTGAGAAAGATTATAAAAAATGAACAAAAACCCAAATCAACTATAACTAAATAGTGTGACTTGCCTTGAAATTCTAGCTTTATTCCTATACATTTGTTTCCTCCAAAGAAACTGACTGAAACAAGTCAGTCCAAATCTATATAAACAGACTTAAGTTTGGGAGAGCTGTGATGCTAAAGGCATTAATTCCACATTTGATTATTACTTTGAAACTTGGACAATTAGTGCTTGTCCAGTAATTTCTCATGTGTTTTCACCCCACCTTGTTCTTCCTGGGGGAAAATGGTTACAACAGTTTAGAGCTCTTTTCTGAAGAAATTTCCACACTGGCAAAGGTACCAACTTTTCACTTTCGTAGTGGGTGGTCTGGCACAGAAACTCCCCAGTGGCTGAGAATCTGGAGCCTGGCTGGGCCTCCCATAAGCTACAGTATTAAACATTTTTATATGTAATTTAAGATGTGAACTATTATAATTAAAAATAAATAATTAGGTTTTTCCCATTAGAAAATTGTAAGAAATTCTCAGTGTATTCTGTAGAGTTAAGACTGTAAGTCTATATCAAAAATTAATCTTTTTCTTGTTCATTTTAAAAAAGTACTATCTTGATTTCTTCCTTTGTTCTTCCATTTTTTATCCTGTCTTCTATACCCTTCTAATGTTTTTCTTAATTATTAAATATATATGCATATTTAAATTACAATTCATAATGTTCTTGTGTTCTAAATAGTTCATTTATTTAATAAAAAGTTATCAAACACTTCTTCAAACACAATAGAAGATAGGAAGGTAATAATTATTTATTAAGATAAGTGCATTATACTCAACACCTTGGGAATGATGACAACTCTATGAGATCGGCATTCATTTCCACCTTACAGATAAAGAAACTGAGATGCCAAGAGATTAGTTGATTTGCTGAAATCATGTACCTAGAAACTGGTAAAACCAAGTTTAAATCTGGTATCATTTGATTTCTAAAGGTTTTTCTCTTGACCATACTATACTGTTTTCTTATTCACCACCCCAAATCAATGTATACTACTTACCAGCTCATTCCATGATGGTTCCAACTCAGGAACAACCACGTCTAACAAAAGTAGATTTGCTAAATACTACACATGGAATGATATAACCTATGCTCTCAGGGAGCTGAAAACATGTAAGAAGAGATAAATTATGTAAGCATATAACTGAAACCTAACTTAGAATTCAGTAGGTACCTTAGGAGTGGTATAAAGTACCTCAGACTTTCAGAAAAGAGTGAGAATACTTCTGGCTGGGAGGATTGAAGCACCAAGTCTGAGATATCTTCTGATTTTTGTTTTGAAAGATGGGCAAAGCTTTACAGAAGTGAAAGGAGAGCATTTCAGGTACAGGAAAAAGTGCAGTAGAGATTTAATGGTAGATCTGTGATGAGTTTAGTGGACAGAATAATCTACTGTGTCAAAGTAAAGGAAGTAAGACTGGAAAGCTAAATTTTATTTTATTTATTTTTTTAATATATGAAATTTATTGTCAAATTGGTTTCCATACAACACCCAGTGCTCATCCCAAAAGGTGCCCTCCTCAATACCCATCACCCACCCTCTCCTCCCTCCCACCCCCCATCAACCCTCAGTTTGTTCTCAGTTTTTAAGAGTCTCTTATGCTTTGGCTCTCTCCCACTCTAACCTCTTTTTTTTTTTTTCCTTCCCCTCCTCCATGGGTTTCTGTTAAGTTTCTCAGGATCCACATAAGAGTGAAAGCATATGGTATCTGTCTTTCTCTGTATGGCTTATTTCACTTAGCATCACACTCTCCAGTTCCATACATGTTGTTACAAAGGGCCATATTTCATTCTTTCTCATTGCTACGTAGTACTCCATTGTGTATATAAGCCACAATTTCTTTATCCATTCATCAGTTGATGGACATTTAGGCTCTTTCCATAATTTGGCTATTGTTGAGAGTGCTGCTATAAACACTGGGGTACAAGGACCCCTATGCATCAGTACTCCTGTATCCCTTGGGTAAATTCCTAGCAGTGCTACTGCTGGGTCATAGGGTAGGTCTATTTTTAATTTTCTGAGGAACCTCCACACTGTTTTCCAGAGCGGCTGCACCAGTTTGCATTCCCACCAACAGTGCAAGAGGGTTCCCATTTCTCCACATCCTCTCCAGCATCTATAGTCTCCTGATTTGTTCATTTTGGCCACTCTGACTGGCGTGAGGTGATATCTGAGTGTGGTTTTGATTTGTATTTCCCTGATAAGGAGCGACGCTGAACATCTTTTCATGTGCCTGTTGGCCATCCGGATGTCTTCTTTAGAGAAGTGTCTATTCATGTTTTCTGCCCATTTCTTCACTGGGTTATTTGCTTTTCGGGTGTGGAGTTTGGTGAGCTCTTTATAGATTTTGGATACTAGCCCTTTGTCCGATATGTCATTTGCAAATATCTTTCCCATTCCGTTGGTTGCCTTTTACTTTTGTTGGTTGTTTCCTTTGCTGTGCAGAAGCTTTTTATCTTCATAAGGTCCCAGTAGTTCATTTTTTATTTTAATTCCCTTGCCTTTGGGGATGTGTCGAGTAAGAAATTGCTACGGCTGAGGTCAGAGAGGTCTTTTCCTGCTTTCTCCTCTAGGGTTTTGATGGTCTCCTGTCTCACATTCAGGTCCTTTATCCATTTTGAGTTTATTTTTGTGAATGGTGTGAGAAAGTGGTCTAGTTTCAACTTTCTGCATGTTGCTGTCCAGTTCTCCCAGCACCATTTGTTAAAGAGACTGTCTTTTTTCCATTGGATGTTCTTTCCTGCTTTGTCAAAGATGAGTTGGCCATACGTTTGTGGGTCTAATTCTGGGGTTTCTATTCTATTCCATTGGTCTATGTGTCTGTTTTTGTGCCAATACCATGCTGTCTTGATGATGACAGCTTTGTAGTAGAGGCTAAAGTCTGGGATTGTGATGCCTCCTGCTTTGGTCTTCTTCTTCAAAATTACTTTGGCTATTCGGGGCCTTTTGTGGTTCCATATGAATTTTAGGATTGCTTGTTCTAGTTTCGAGAAGCATGCTGGTGCAATTTTGATTGGGATTGCATTGAATGTGTAGATAGCTTTGGGTAGTATTGACATTTTGACAATATTTATTCTTCCAATCCATGAGCAGGGAATGTCTTTCCATTTCTTTAAATCTTCTTCAATTACCTTCATAAGCTTTCTATAGTTTTCAGCATACAGATCCTTTACATCTTTGGTTAGATTTATTCCTAGGTATTTTATG